GGTACTGCTTTATGCTTTGGTGGGTACTGCTTTACTGCTTTGTCTTGATCAGATAATTCCTCTCACTCTAAATAATGCATGAACTCGTGGCATACATAAAGTTTATCTTAATAGAGGCTAAACACTGCCAAGTACTGACGATACAGTTAGTAAATTGCCTCTAAATCATCAAACCAATACAATTTCAATGCTATCATTTATAGTTAAGATTCAGTAACTGAGATTGACGACAGTTCACTTAAACAACACATCTGGGAAGTGCAAACAAGCTGCAAACACAACACTGACATAGCGTCACCATTTTAAGATGATATGGTGAACTTGTTAGCAACTGTTTGTGTTTTATATACACATCCAGCAGATATGGGGCAACGTCAGTGTTCATTTAGAGTTGTGTTCCTATCCACCTGACGAATGTAAGTCCAATATTTACTCAAATTCTAGCTCTATTTTTGGTCTCCACCAACTCCCAAAGGTAAATATCTGGCTCTTTAGCTGCTAAATGCTCCCAGGGCGTCAAATACTGACCCTCTGCCATGCAGCTCGGCATATGTTACTGACAAAACAGGCAGACCGTGGCATCTTAATAAGACACAGCGGGCTTTCAACTAAGTCCATCATGAACAACTGATGCAGTATAAAGATAGAAAAAGTCTGCAAAAGGCAAGTGGGTGGGGAGGTGGATGGGTCAAACAAAACAAGACTTTCACCAAGGAGACCACAGATCTTGTCCTCTGTAAAAACAAAAGTCAGGGTTGCTTTAACATAATGTTATGCAATTCATATACGATTGTTGCACACTAAGTCACTCATGTAACGTATTTACATCATGCTGCGTGACAAACACTTATTTTAAGTCAAAACATGATGTTTTTTCTAACCCTAACCAAGTAGTTTTGTTGCCAAAACCTAACCATGACCGTTTCGCAACATAAACCACGTGTTAAAATGTGTTTCAGCTGTGCGTCACATAGATAAGTTAAAGGGTGCCCTGTGTGTTGCTATGAGACGCCGAAGGGTGTGACAAGGCCTCAGTACTTGACGACCTGGTACTTAGAATAGGTTGGTTTACTTGCTAGTTGCTAGCTTTGTGTGCAGGTGGTGCTGTGCAGGCAGTGTACAGTTTGTTTTCTTGAGAGTTTTTCTTTATAAAGCAACTGCCTGCTGCTTTATAAAATGAAAGGAAACAGTTTAAGTTTCAGCGAGAAAACCCAAACAATGACTTGCTATAAAACTGCAGAGTTGGGTGATAAGTCCCTTGTCGCTCTGTCAGTCAGTAAGAGCAGCACAATTCACATTACACAGTCATTTAATCTATTGTTAATATAAAAATATTTATTATAGCAGCTGTGAAACCATAAAGTTTTCATATTACTGCATTCTTATTATTTCTGCACAGCAATCGGAGGAGAAAGTTCTGGTGAAATAAGTTCACAGAAGCAGTTTATCAGCTACACACACCCACACATTTGTGGCTTTCACTGCGAGCTTCACAATATCCAATTATCATTTTAAATGTTAATGCACTTAAAGCTGGGAAAAATCGTACAGATCATAAAGTTTGCTTGTTTAAATTTGAATCAAATGTATGAATCTTTAAGGGAAAATTAAGTCTAGGGCTCTTTATTTAACTATGGGTTCCTACAACCTACTACTGCGCTATTATGACATAAAATAATTAAAGAAGCTCCTGGCACATAGGCCCAAAGCAACCCACATGCTGTTAAACCCAGGTGCCCTCCTCAGCTATCACTGCCGTCCCTCTGCACTGACAGCTTCCTATTTTCCCCTGTTGGGAGTTTAATTGCTGTCATACAGTACCTCGCCCTGAGGGCTCAGCTTTCTCCTTTCCTCTCCAAAACAAAACAGTCCAACAGCATGTACGGCTCTTATTTCACCACAGATGGGTGTCCTGTGTCTAGGAACTGATTGTATGTGTTTAAGGAAAGTATTGATGACACAATGCCCCACATCTCAAGCTTCGTTAACAGAAAATGACCATTGTTAGCATCCCAAATCATAATCAGAGCACCAAATTGGTTCTCATACTCCAAGCAGTGGGATCCATGTGACTGCAGGAGCAGACATGCCTGTCAAATCCTGAAAATCCTGAGGGTGGGGGTCACACCTACACTTTGCTGTTGTCACAGTATTCTCTGACTGTGCTTTCCTGTCATTACAAGTCATAAGAGAAGAATCACAGTGTACAAATAAAATCTGAGAATAATTAGGCATGGAGCGTTCCTGTTTTCTCACAAACATTTAATTTTATAGCACCAATTTTAGAAAATCTTTAAATCTCCTTCATGGTTCTACACTTAAAACTCAAGACACAATGACACAAAATCTGCACGTGTGTAACAAGCGGATATCCTTGTGTGAATGCCTGTGCATGTGTGTGTAAATCTTCCAAACTGTGTGTTGTAGAGCCAAACACTGCAGGGCTCAGGCAGAGCTCTCTCGGTGCCAGCCCTGGGACACCTGACTGGGCTGTTTTGACTGTATATTGTGTAATAGTTTGTTTATGCCAAGCTCAAAGAGGAGGATAAATTTAGACATGCAAGAAATGCCACAAAAGCAGTGGACCTGATGTTTGGACATAAATATGACTTACTAATAATATGGACTATTATTAGTCCCAAGAGGGAACAAGTAATTTAATGTAGCTTGGATAGTGTTGCTCTATCCAACACTGGTGTAATGCACTGCTGGAAACTGCGTAATTTAAAGAGTCAAGTCTCTGAATAAATATGAGTCTATGCTGTCACCCCTCCAAGTATCCATGTCCTGAAAATTCAGAGAAAGGAAGCGGAAAGATTTTTGTAGGTCTGTCAAATGTCTTCTAAGAATGTTTTTTTTTGTGTGTTTATGCATATCTATTTGATAAAGTTTTTGATAAACTGACCCATTTACTTAAAGGTCCAGTGTGTAGGACTTTCGGGGATATACTGCCAGAGATGGAATATATTGATTATGTTTTCTATAGCATGTAATCACATGAAAATAAGAATCATTATGTTTTTGTTACCAGAATGAGCCGTTTATATCTACTGTACATAGGGAGTGGGTCCTTGTCTACAAAGGTCACTATGTTGCAACGGCATGTCTTTACAGTAGCCCAGACAGGACAAACCAAACACTGGTTCTAGATAAGACCATTCGCTTTTCGGGTCGGCAACTGTAGTTAGCAGCCCCTCTGCGACATGAGCGTCAGAAAAACAGATTTTTTTTTTTTACATCAAACTGCTTTATTCAGGGTTTAAATCACTGAGTATGTTTGTTTTGGAGAGGAAGAGACCTCTGCGGATAATTCAGCTGCCAGTAAAAACCTCCTGAACAATGAAAACTGAAGTAATCCTAACTAGGAGAAGTTTCAGCTGGTTGCAATTTGTATATGTCACCACTTGGTGCCACTAAAGTCCCCATAAATAAGGGGTAAGCAACCTGCGGCTCCGAAGCCACATACGGCTTGAGCTGCTCCCTGTGTCTTTAATAAAAATAAAAAATAAAAATCATATGCAATTGAATAATGTGTTTTCTTTAACATTTTAACATTCATTTATCATTGTTGTAGTGCTAAAGCAATTCTTACATTCTCCAATTATAAAAATGCTTAGCCTATACTCTGTAATATGCATCATACGTCTATTGATGGCACCTTTTTCTCTAAGTTTTGAGAGACCTCAACAGTGGTGGTTTGTCTATAGTTTCCCTGGCTTGGCTAGCTTTTGATTCCAAATCCAAAAAAGGGAAAGTTTTGGAGGATAAACAAGAATCTAATAGTGCATGGACAGAGTTCTTTGCGTTCATTGCCAGACAATTTTTTTTTGTTTGTTTTTGGTTATAAGTGGCTATTACTCACTAGACCTTTAAATTATATTTTTAGTCCATTTTCAGTGGTGTTTGTACAGTTTGATGTTTTTCATTTGTTTTCTTTTGTTTGCTGCATGTAAAAAATAAATTAAAAATACACAAATATTTAAAAAATAAAATAGAAATTAAGACAGTGACCTACCCCAAAAACATTGTCAAAAAAATAGATGAAAAAAATCCAACAGTGTCTCATGTTAGCTCTTGTGCTTGCCTTATCTACTGATATCACAGGTAATGCATTTTTGATTAGGTCTGGGGGTAAAAACATCACATAAATCCGCTTTAAAGTGAAGCTACTGTATTGTATATCACCTAGAAAAGTCTATAAGGCACAGCAACAATAAAAGCCTGTCACCCCGTATTTATTATTTACATGGCGATGGCCCCTTTAAATCCTCATGCACATAATTGCTACGCAGCTGCCTGCTCAATGAAGGCCGGCGGGATGCTGCATAATCATGAATGGCCACTGCCTGGTCATGGATGCTGACCCTGTCGACGTGTTAAATGTGTTGAAGTGACGCGACATTTGATGGGTTTATTTAACAATAGCCCTGTGAACTATATTCTTATCTCCTCACTCAACACACGCCGCCGATATTAAAGGAAACGTGCGACAGCGCGCCTCGCCCCCTCTGTTAGCTGACACAAGCTAACACGAAGCTAACCGGAACTTGAGCTAGTCTTCCTTCAAAATAAGAGCTTTGGTTTAACTCGAAGCCGCTTTTAAATGGAGTTTTTTGGTTATGTGTTTTATTTTGAAACTCGTGACCAGTAGTTATTTGTTGTTAAAGGAAGGTGTATTGATATGACCGTTTTTCTCTTTTCTCTACGAGCTCCTCAAACTAGCCTAAACTGGATGGCCCAAGGCGCATCATCATCAGCAGCAACAGCAGCAGCACGGAAACATTAACCCAAACACTGACATTGTGAGCGGCAGGAAAACAGTGTGAACGCGGCTACACTCTGAATGAGATGACATAAATCAAAACCCATATGTTTAATTAAACATGAATGCCATTTTTTGTCACAATCACCCCCGTGCTGTTTGAATGACTGGGCGCAGGCTAGGCCACAAAGTCACACACAACCCCTGGATATTGTCCACTCACTGCGGGACCTCCTACCTCCTCTTCACGTTCATTCTTGAAGCACAGACACGCCGCTCGTTTCTTGAAGCCCTCGCCATCGTATGTCCTGGTCTGGTTCGGTTTGAGCTTCATTTTGGGTTCAGTCTGCCTCCTTTAGATAAAACCGGCAAAAACAGAGAGGGAAGCGTCCAGCGAGTTATTAACAGCAGAGCCGCCGCATCGCTGCTGCTGCTCTCTGCATCCGTGGTCCGAGATGGTTAGGAATAAGAGGAGGAGGAGGGGGTTGTTGGAGAGATCCCAAGGCTCTGCTGGATTTATGTTTTCCTCATGAAATCAGTGGAAGGTGAACACAAGTCGATGGTCCAGCTGCTGCCTGTGGTTTCCAGTCGGCAGTGCGTGTGCAGTCCCGCAGGCAGAGGTCTTATGTAGACTAACGTTACAGCCTACACAGCACAGCCCTCCTCTGGATCCATTTGCGCATGGCCGCTGACTCAGTACAATGAACAGGCAGACAGGAGTTTCAGATATACTGATCAGCCCCTCTGAGGCAGGACTGAGCTCATTGGTCGGGTTAGTCCCGGTGGGCGGGGCTACACTCCTGGTCAAAACAGTGATAATAAACAAATGCGTAATTTGTGGTGATCTCCAGCGGACTGGTGTTGCTGCAGGGTATGGGACCATCTGACAGGTAGTCCTGTTTAAAGAGTCACAGATGAAGATGTCAGTGAAAATAGAGTTAATTAATGGTCTTTGAGTTAGGACTGACATGTGCTGCTCATATGTCGAACCTTGAAGCAGATGGGCTACAGCAGCAGAAGACTACACCAGGTGCCACTCCTGTCAGCTAACAACAGGAAACTGAGGCTACAGTTCACACAGGCTCACCAAAACTGGACAATAGAAGATTGGAGAAACGTTGCCTGGTCTGATGAGTCTCAATTTGGTGTAAACAACATGAAAGCATGGATCCATCCTGCCTTGTATCAACGGATCAGGCTCGTGAAAATCGTTTAAACGCCACAGACTGCCTGAGTATTGTTGCTGACTGTGTCCATCCCTTTATGACCACAGTGTACCCATCTTCTGATGGCTACTTCCAGCAGGATAACGCACCATGTCACAAAGCTCAAATCATCTCAAACTGGTTTCTTGAACATGACGTTGAGTTCACTGTACTTTATTGGCCTCCACAGTCACCTGATCTCAATCCAATAGAGCACCTTTGGGGTGTGGTGGAAGGGGAGATTTGCGTCATGGATGTGCAGCTGACAAATCTGCAGCAACAGCGTAACGCTATCATGTCAATATGGACCAAAATCTCTGAGGAATGTTTCCAGAACCTTGTTGAATCTATGATTTATGAAGAATTAAGGCAGTTCTGAAGGCAAAAGGGGTCTAACCTGGTACTAGCAAGGTGTCCCTTTTTTTGTCCCTAATTTCTGAAATTCAGTTATGGCTTTTAGTTTTGGTGTGATGCCCTAAGAGTTTCAGTGGCACCATCTGGCCACCCCTACAACAAATTCTAGGGGCACCACTGCATCAAGGAAGAAGCAGCTACTTTTCAAAATAATCTCACAGCAGGAAAAGCGCATGTATAAATATCAAAGTAAATGATGTCTGATTTCCAAAATATGTTAAGAACACCATATTAGTCATCGCCAGGCTTCTGGCCTCACCTCTCCTCTACTTACTAGGCCTCAGGCTCAGCTTAATATTAATGCCAGTCAAGGCTGACAAATAAAGCCAGCCTCATGTGTTTGTCATGATTCAGTCAGCTGTGACACTTTTACTGCACTTTTATGGGAGTTTTCTTGTGGGAGTTCCACGTTTCAGGTTCCACCTGTTCCCTCCACATGTAATTATTAATTTCAACTCCTTTTATTTGCTGAAGGAAAGCTATGATGTTACATAAAGTTTTTATTCATTCAATATCACTCATAACACCTCCTGCATTCTAGTTTTTCTGTTTTGGGTCTTTTGAAGATGTTTTTGGTCAAGCTGCACAAAAGATCACGCGCTACAGGCTCAGTAGATCATGTGATTGTTACTTCTAATCCAAGATATTGAGAAATCAGTCAGCGACTCCTGTTTGACGTTGAATTTATATCACAACTGAGGTCATTCTTTGAAAATGTCAGTCCAAATCAGTGTGGAAAAAACATGCTGACACAATCACTCAAGCACATGTTTAACGGTATTTTGAGTAAAATACTTGAGTTTACTGTAAAGTTGATGTTTTAACTTGAGGTCAGAGGTCACAGTGTTGCAATGCCGTCTGTTTTAGGGGGAGTTGTCAGTGTGAGTAAGTACCATGCCTAACTGCTCCCCCTGACCAAACACATCAGAGCAAAATCTGTCTCAGCTCGTATCTGATGGCACTCCCACGCTTCATGTTAAACTCATATAATGTGAGGTGAATAAATAACGCCATCCCTTCCCCTCTGTCGTTACCTCACAGGTGGGGTTTTAGACACTGTGACTGCACTGTGAGCAGCTGTGACTTATTAACCGATTACACGTATTTACTGTTTCAATTATGTAATTCGTAAATGACGAGAGACACAGTTGATGATCAAACCACACAGTAGAGTGCGTGTGTGGATGATTCCCTCACCCTTAGTTCACCTTTGACCTGCAGGCTGAGGATGAATCACATGTTGCAACTCCACAGATAACATCAAAGCCAATATTCGACCTCCAGGAGACAAAGATCAGATAGAGAATGAGATTCATCAAAGTGGGTCAAAGAGCGAGACACAATCCACTTGTTTGTGGAGATAATTAAGTCTTATTGCCTTTGTCGTATCCGACCGCCTTTCAGCAGCTTGGTTTGATGTCATTACTCAAAAACCTCTTGAACCATTTGGATAACATTTTTATGTAAATAACTTGTATCTGTTTTCTACTAGTTCCCTACGGGGATTAATAAAGTACCTTTATATCTATCTATCTATCTGCAACGTAGGACCACCGCCATGATTCTTTCACGTTGGTCATCTTTTGTCTGGGACAGCCCACAATCGTACAGTGTATATTGGGCTTTAGAGTTATAGTATTGATTAAAACACTAGAAGGCTATTTTGATGTCGTTACTAGGTTCAACACCATTTTGATGGTGTCGGGATTGTAACACAGCGTTACTATTGCCCTCAACTGTACTACCCATGACACAGTTACCTTGCTGGCTATAAACAGCAAAGCTATTATTTGACAAATATATCAAATGTTGGGCAACAGAATGGTCATAAAAACTAGACAGATTGAAATTCATAGACATTAAATTTTAAGATAGTATAAGGGAAATACACCATAGACCATGTGCATGATGAGTTTCCTGCGTCTGTCTTATTTCTGATTGGTGCAATCTGAGATTTTATGATTTCCCCTTGTAACAATTTGCCCTGGTCTCCCCTACACACACTGTCAAATTGCACCACCCTCAAAAAGGAAAATGTTGAGTATAAAAGGCAGTTTTACCTTTTATATCAAGAATAATGCCATGAAATTTTGTACATACATTCATGATCCACAGAGGACGAATCCGAATGACTTAACTTTTCATTTAGTGCCACCATCTGGTTCACATTTGCGGTTTTAATTTAAATATCTTCTTTGCCAACGTTCTTATTCTCTTCAGGATGAATTGTAATAACTCTGGTGATCACTTGCAACCCAGATTAAATGTTGGCATTGTACATTTTGGCAAACCACAGATAAGTTACATTTGTGCGTTTCATATATAGCGCAGACATATTGAAACTTAATGTTTCTAATTAATGTTTTTAATTTGATGTTGTGGCAACGCTGTGGTTAACATGTTTAAGCATATAACCTACTTGATAAAGGGTAGGAAAACATCATGTGTGGGCTTAAATGGCTGGTTTGGTTGATACAAACAAAGCTGGAAAGGTCCAAGACTCTAGTTTATTAAAAATATCTGCTTTTGTCGCTGCCACCATGCCTGGAAATGTCTAGAGCACTTGCCAAAATAATACCTGCTTTTGTTTGCTGCTGTCTGCTGCTTGGCAGCCGTCTCACTTTGGTGTCACGCCATCAACAGTCCCCCCAGCTGACAAACTTATATATCTGTATTCTGATTTCTGAACTACGTCATACTTATGAAACGTGCAAACATGAAAAATCCGTGGCTTGCAGAAATGGCAACATTTTATTCTGGTGACTGGGCTGTTCCTTAACCCTTACATACTGTTAATATTTTATACCTTCCCAGTATGGCATGTAGAGTTTCAAGACTCCTTCAAACCACAGTTATCCTTGATTTAACCCACACTGGTGAATCTAAAATCCAGTCAATAGAAACGGGTGAAATTTGACCAGATGTACAAAATTTGTAGCACCTGTACAAAAGTCAAACATATTTAAATATTTTCATTTTGTGCATTTATGGTCACTTTAGGAAAAGTCCCATAATTTCAAACTAAAAGAATGGCATTTAGGGAGCTTTTACTGCTGTCAAATTTGACATGAATAATATGTAAAGGTTAACTTTTCATACACTAACATTATCAGCACAAAACTGTGAAAAGAGTCCCCACCTTTTGACCCCACTATTTGTTTTTTTTCATCTACATCCCCCCATAGTTACACACATATCTTGAGTATATGGTGGAGATAATTGCTCTCCAGATAACCCAGAAATTCCTGCTGAAAAAAATCACTACATGCACAAGTCATGTTGTCAGCAGTCATCATGTGAATGTGATGGGAATATGATAAGCCCACAGGTCAGCGTGTTACTGAAGTCAGACAGCCTCATCATCTTCTTTTAGCAGCTTGTTTTATACTGGCGTCACACTGATCTGATTACAATGTGATTACTTCATGGATAATTGCAGCTCATCACAAAAAGGGTTTATAGTAATCAAGTTAAAAATACATCAAATAAAATATTACTGATGGCGTGATACACACAAACAAAACAGCCACATGATGTAGAAAACTGATAGAGGGATAAAGAACATGAAAGATGGGGATTGTTATAGGATTAGTACAGTTTTAGAGGATTGTAGTTTGTATCAATGCTATGAGACGTAGAAACATGTTAGAAAATGAATGTATTTATAGAGATGTAGTTTCCTTTGCATGTAATGTATGATGGTCAGTAATTTATAAAGGGCTAAAATTAGGATCCTGCTCCCAAATATTACAACAGATGCTCAGTCATGTTATCAGTCACCTCAGAGGAAAATAAATCGTCCTGTCATCATGCTTCTTGAAGTGGTTTATCATCATCTTTCTTCATAGCAAAGGAGGGCAGCTAAAGAGGTCTCCTTTTAGCCGAGATGTGAGGGGAGATAGAGGGATTCGGTTTCTCCTGGCTCGCATCAGGACAGATGGAGGGATGAAGGAGCCAGAACTGAACGGCTGCCTCGCGCTGTCCTCACTTTATCAGGAGCGTCGAGGAGGACATCTGCTTTCTGACAACACGACGGGCTCAAACTGCATAGTAACACACACAAA